GGAGGCGCGCGCTTCGCTGCTGGGCCCAGAGCGGGGCCAGGCCTGGGGCCGTGGATGCGTGCAGAGCTCGCTGCCTCGCGTCGATGCGGAGGGGGAAGCGTCGCAGCGTCCTCCCCCACCTCCTCCTCCTCCTCCTCCTCCTCCTCCTCCTCCTCCTTCTCCTCCTCCTCCTCGTCCTCCTCCTCCTCCTCCTCCTCCTCCTCATCATCCTCCTCGTTAGAAGCGTCGCAGAATGTCGTACGGGGAGATGGTAGGGGTGATATTGCTGGCAGGCGCCCTGTGCGGGCTCCCCTGGCACGCTCGTGCATGCTCCCAAGTGCGTCGCGCGCTCGCGGGCGCGGTCGGCATGACCCCGCGCAACGGCGACAGGGTAGGTGGGCGATGCACCAGGGAGGAACGATGGGATAGTGACTCGTGTTGGATAGCAGTTGCCTTGTCGTACAGGTCACGCATCGGCCGTGTCATGCAGACGTGATAAGGGTTGGCATGAGCTCTGACAGTGGGGGTCTCCTGCAGGGTTTTCCCACTTGTGTCGTCCCTGCTGGTTCGGCGGCTCCAGTCAGAGCCTCAGATTTGTCCTTGCCGTCCTCGTTGTCGGCCGTCCTCGTTGTCGGTTAAGCCGTTATCGAGATAATGTCTGGACCTCATGGGTCAGAAGTTCGTGAGAGCGAGAGTGCCAGGCATGCACCGCAGCGGGCATGAGGAGGAGGAGGAGGGAGGAGGAGGAGGGAGGAGGAGGAGGAGGAGGAGGAGGAGGAGGAGGAGGAGGAGAGGAGGAGGAGGAGGAGGACAATGAGAGGAGGAGGAGGAGGAGGAGGAGGAGGAGGAGGAGGAGGAGGAGGTGGAGGAGGAGGAGGAGGAGGAGGAGATGGAGGAGTAGGAAGAAGAGGAGGCGGCGGCGACGACAGCGATGGCGGCAACGACAGCGACCCTCGTGGCGTAGTGTCCCCCTCCCCCCATTCCTCTCCCGCCTCCCCCTGCACACGTCCCCCTTCCCTCGCCGTTGACCCCTCCCGTTCCAGTCCCCGACACAACCACGGGCTACTGAGTGCACATGATTCCGGGGCCCTCAGCGCCGCGTAGGGCTGTCTCCCCTGGGACGCTTTAGGCGCAGCCTCGATCCTCGAGCCTGCCGCCACCCCACCTCGTACAGTGGGGCCGCGCATCAAGAAACCGGGTGCCTTGGGGTTCTTCGCTTCGTTTTTTCTTTACGGTGACCTCCCGCGGCTTTTAAAGAACCTGCTGCGTCTGGGGTGCTCTGGGCTGCCCCCAGACGCACCTCGCGCGCGGGTCTCCAGGGCTGGGTTTCTTGCAAGGGTTTCTGCGGCCGCGTCCGCACTGTATCTCCCTCCCCGGTCCCCTCACCACCCTGTCCCACCCTTTCCCCCATGCCCCCGCATGGGGGCGGGAAGCGGAAGCGGAAGCGGAAGCGTAGGAAACCGTCCCGCGGGACGGACCTATGAGAGCCTGGTGGGAGCACCGGAGCGCCGGACGGTTCACGCGTCGTAATTGCCGAAGTGGGCGGAGCGACGCACGTATCCCAGCACATGTTCTTGATTTCTTCGAGGGGGGGAAGGTGGACGACGACGACGACGCCGAGGAGGAGGAAGCGGAGTAGCAGACGCAGCAGGAGGAGGCGGAGGATTCTCCTCCGAGTTGTGACGATGGAGTGGTGGGTGGTGGGCCCCTCCCCCCCGTGCGCCCGGGGGCGGGCGCGGCCCCCGCGGCGGCGGCCGCGGACAAGCGTGGTGGAGGGTTGTGGCCCGACGCGCGTGGCGCAGCGGTTGCCGGCAGGAGGCCCGGGCCGCCACGAGGGGTCGCGAAGCAAGTCGCGTTTCTCGCGGACTGAGCGACTTCAGAGCAAGGCGCGAGTCCTTCCTCCTCCTCCTCCTCCTCCTCCTCCTGCTCCTCCTCCTCCTCCTCCTCTTCCTCCTCTTCCTCCTCCTCCTCCTCCTCTTCCTCAGGCTCCTCCTCCTCCTCCTCCGCCTCCTCCTTCTCCTCCTCCTCCTTTTTTGGGGGAGGGGCGGCGGCACGAAAGCGCGAAGGTTGTCGCGCTTCGCAGAGAGCGCGAGGCGCGAAGGCAGTGTTGCCCCTGGAGGAGGAGGATTATGCTCCGTCTCAACGGCGGCGGCCCTTGCTGCAAAGCCAGGCAAGCCAAAACACACCACACAATCAGCCGAACCTCTTGGGGAAGTGGCCGCCCGACGTCTGGCGGGAGGCCCCTGCGCAGCCCACGCAGGGCCACTTTGCGGGTAGCACACAGCCGCAAGCCAAGCTACCAAGGCCGAGGCGTTTGACACGTACCCAGACCTCCAACGAGTAACGAGTTGAAAAATCAACGCGGAGGTTTTTTTTCTTCATTTTCGGCTTAGGATGAGAAGCCGGTCCTGCGGAATGGGTCGAGATCTTCCAGGGACCGCACACTGACAAAAGATGCACATCGGGTGTCTGGGTATAGGCTTGGAGAGAGGCGGCTGGAAAGGCGGCCAGAGAATTGCCACTGACCCAGACCCCCGGCGTCACGATTTTCTCACAACGCCGGCCTCCAGATGTCTGGACCCCTTCCCGGGGACTGGATTTTCATCCTGGGACATTTCCTGACGGTCCCGAGGTTTCTTAGGGGTCTGTGAAGGCAGCCGTGGCCAACGCCACAGGGCAGGACGAGCCCGCAGCCGTCCCCGGGCCCCCGGGAGCTTGCCGCAGCCCCGGGCCGCGGCGGGGCGCCTGATGCCCGCGGGCGCCACGCCCGCGGGGAGCGGGAGCGCCGGCGAGGCGCCCGGCGGCGGGGTCCCGGCCTGGCGTCGGCGGCCCACGGGCGGGGGCCCCAAGGGGTGGCTCCCCCAGGCATCCTGGCGTCTCGGCCAGCATCGGGGGAGGCCGAGAGGGGGGCTGACGGCTACGGGGGCGTGGAGAGTATCCACGCCCCCGTAGTCGTGATGTCGGGGTCACCCTCTGCGGTTTCATGGCGCCTCTTCTGATTTCAATACGTCCCCGACCCCCCACCCCCTGGGCCGCGCACGTGCCGCCGGCCATGATTTGCGCCCTCCCCCTCCTGGATGCCCCCCTCCTGGACGCCCCCGACAGGGATCCTGGCGTCTCGACAACATGAGGATGAAAGTCTTGCATCTTTTGGGGCCACTCGGGGCCCTTGACGGGCCCCAGAGCCGTCAGACAACGGCTCGGGGCGAGAAGCCAGTCCCAGGGAGGTGGTCGAGAGGTCGGGGGCCCGTGTCTCGAACAAAATCGAGGCGCCGGATGCGTGGGTATCTGGGGCTCCAGGATCGGGTCGGAGGATCGCGCCGCATCGCCGACGCATCGGCGATTCGGCTCGGTGTGGAGCCCAGTTTCATCCACGCCGACGGCGCCGAAGCATTGGCGATTCAGTGCGAGGTTCCGATCCCACCTGGGAGGCTTCCAGATGGTACCACATGGATCAGAAGTTGAATCAGAATGACAATCCTATGAAGAAGGAGAGACTGCACAAGCAGAGGCTTTCGGCGGTCCACGCTGATTTCCTGGATCTGCGCTGGACCCTTGCGGCAGCGCCGCTGATGCTAGGGCCCCGTCCAGGAGCCCAGCCCTCCTCCCGTCGCGGAGAGGTCACGCCGGGGGGCGCTGCCTTCTCTCGGCCTCCGAAACCACCAGCGGGGCCACACTGCCGCCGTCAGAAAACCTTTATGTGGTTTCAACGAAATGTTCTTCGAACATTTCTGGTTGGGAATGTCGTGTTCTAGTATATTTACTTATATATATAGAGAGAGAGTTAATGTTCTAAGAACATTTTTTGGTAGAACATTTTTTGGGTTCTAAGAACAAGTCGTGGTAGGCCTATAGGAATGCCGGGACGGTCGGTCCCTGCTCAAAATGCGGGAAGGGGTTTGGACATCCATGCGCCCACGTTCCGAACAATGCACGACGCCGGAGGGCTTGGTAGGGAGGGATATCCCAGCGACCCTCACCGTCTGAGGCCACCTGAGGGCCTCGTCCCCTGGATCACCCGCGGACGCGAAAAGATCATCGCGTTCCGCGCGTCGTGATCTGAGGTGCCCATCTCCAGGAGGGGCGACGCGAGCACTTGAGGGCGCGAAGTTGAGCACGCGTCGCGCAACGTATGGCACTCTGCGCGAAACTAGGTGACCTAGATACCCCCAACGTCATGATTTTGTTCACAACTTCGACCACCAGAGGCCTCGACCCATTCCCAACGACTGGATTTCCCTCCCGAGTCTTGTTTCTGACTGTCCAGGGGCCCGGCGAGGGGGCCGGGAGGCTGGTAGAACATGGCAGCAAACAGAAATCTCCCGTCGTGATTTTGTGCAGGACGCGAGCATGTCCAGGCCAACCGGACTGATGATATTGTTCGTGTAGATGTGGATTTTGTTTCTCTTGACCATATTACTGTGAACGATGTTGCTGAGCTTGTTGCTGTACTCGTGTGGCTCGCTTCGCTAGCTCCTCGTACCCTCGGTTCTCGATCCCGCTGTCCTCCTCCATGCTCCTCTTGATCCTCGTGATCCGAGCGCTCCTCGTTGTAGGACTGTTGCTCTGGCTGCTCGGATATGGGGCTCGATTCTGTCTTCTGGGTTTGTGGTTGATACAAAGCCAATCTTATCTGTGAGAGGAGGGCCGGAGGGTACAGGTATACCCAGACATCCGACGTGTTGCCGTTTTTCCCGCGCGTCTTCCCTGGAGGCCTCGGCCCGTTCCACGGGACCTCAGGGTTCTCATGCTGCGCCGTGTTTGGCCGGCCCTCCTGGCCCAATGCCCAGACCTCCTCGCGCTGCGAATGACGTCACGACGGGAGGGTTCTCGCTATTTTCAACCTCTCTGGGCCCTTCCCGGGCCTTGGGGCCGTCAAAAATTGCCCAGGACGAAAGGCCGGTCCCGGGGAGGGGGTCCAGACCTCTGGGGGTCGCCAGTGTGAAAAAAATCATGACGTCTGGGCACGGGGCCCCCAGCAGCCGAAAAAGAAGAAACAAGTCTCCCATCGATGTTCTCTCATGTCGTGCGAGGCCTGGGTGCGCGCACGCGGGGGAATCTCAGAGTCCCAAATCATCAGGGGCAACTCGGGTCAGGGCTAGCTCGGGTTCGTTTTCGGGAATCCAAGCCCGAGTTACTCCGGGCCCGAGTTACCCCTGAATAGCTCGGCCGCCCAAGAATCCCTCGGGTGCCCCGCCGCTGGGCCGCCGAGCGGCGGCTGCCCCGCGGCGGCGGCGGCGAGGAGCCGCCAGACGCCGAGGGCCTGGCCCACGCGCTGTGGGTGCACGGCTGCTGCGCCCTCGGCGGCGCCGTCTCGGCGGGCGCTTGCGCGCGCCTGGCCGCCGCAGTGGACGAGCAGCTGGCAGAGGTGCCGGGCCGCCCAAGTGATCGCTTTTTTATGCATTGTTTTGTCGATCGGCGCGGGCCCTCGCACCCCCCCCTCCCCCCCCCATGGAGTAGATCTTGGCTGTTTTTGGCGCCTGTTTCAGGCAGGTGGGGTCTCCCTCACAGGACGCACGGTCCCAAACAGACGCCATTAAGCAGAGGTCCAGGGCCAGACCCCCTCCTTCCACCCCCCTTCCTCCAAATGTCGAAACACCGAATCCAAAAACGCTCACCAAGTTCCATAAAATCGGGAGGGGCCCAACTGCGTGGTGACCACACCGCGTGGTGAGTCAGTGGGGATTCGGGGTCGCCGCGCAGTTTTGGGACTCGGGTCGCTCTCCGAAGGTGTCTCGGGCAACTGGGCCTCCAGGGTCCCACGATCGTACGGTGACGGACCGCGAAGAGGGTACCGCGAGGTCCGTGACCACACGGTTTTGAGACCCCCAACAAACCCCACTCGCGTGGTGAACAAATCGCGACGGGGGGGACGAGGAGGAGGATGAGGAGGAGGAGGAGGAGGAGGAGGAGGAGGAGGAGCAATGCAACCCCAAAACATATCAACAATGTTGCAACAAAAAGCATTCCTCCAAGTTGTCTCTTCACAAGTCCTGGGCCGCCCATCGAACAACGAAAATACATAAACACAAATTGTTGGAGCTCCGCGCGGATTTCTTGAACCAGTGCTGGATCCTCTTGGCGACGCCTTTGGCGCGGGTCCAGCGCCGATCCAGGATATCCATGCAGAGCTCCAACAGTGTATGTTTATGTAGTTTTTGTTCCTCTCCTACAAGCGCCCCGGTCAAGGAAGAAAAAGCTACCCCGACCCCCATAATTGGTGTTTGCTAAACTGCCCTGGGTGGTTATTACTAAACGGCCCCGCCCAGTTCGGTTCCTTCTTTCGGTGCGTTCACTAAACGGCTTCGTCAGTCGGGGTGCGTATTCTGATGGTCTTCTCTGGTCTCTACCAAGCTCCCCCAAATTCCTTCGCGTGGTGAACAACATCACGACGGGGAGGAGGAGGAGGAGGAGGAGGAGGACCAGGACGAGGACGAGGACGAGGACGAGGACGAGGAGGAGGAGGAGGAGGAGGAAGAAGAGGAGGAGGAGGAGGGAGAAGGGAGGAGGAGGAGGAGGAGGAGGAGGAGGAGGGGAAGAAGGGAGGAGGGAGGAGGGAGGAGGAGGAGGGGAACAGGAGGTGGAGGAGGAGGAGGAGGAGGAGGAGGAGGAGGAGGAGTGGAAAGGGAGGAGGGAGGAGGAGGAGGAGAAATGAGGAGGGAGAAGGGATGAGGCAGGGAGGAGGACTTCAGTAGGACCTCTTGGAAGCCTCTTGGGCCGTCTTGCAGGCCTCTTGTAGGCCTTTTGGGCTGTCATGGGCCATCTTGGGCCGACGTGGGTGCATCTTAGGGGCATCTTGGGCCGTCTTGGGTGCATCTTGGGGCCATGTTTGGTTTTTTGGTAACCATTTTGGACGTCTTGGAGTCCATCTTGGTTGTTTCGGAGGCCATCTTAGGGGCGTCCTGGAAAGGAAAAACCGACGACGCCCGTTTCTGTTATCTTTCGGCGGCTTTTCGGGTGACCGGCGGGCTGGGCCGAAAACCCAGGGGGAGTTTTTTTAAAGAAAGAATCAAATTTCTCCCAAACATCCAGCACATGAACCACCAGGGGACGGCGGATCTAGTGGCATTCGGCCTATCCTGCTACCGTGCCTGCGCTCTGGTTCAGAGGTTTCTTGGATGTATATGAGGGTCACTTGTGATCCCTTCCCAGGGACTCTTGGAGGCCTCTAGTGGTCGTCTGCGGAGCGTCTTGGGGGCCTCTTGGATGCCTTTGGGGGCGTTGGCGGGGGGCTGGGGGGCTCGGGGGCGGGAAGCTCAAGATATTCGTTCGTGTTACTCTTGGGCCCCTCTTGGGTGCCTCTTGGGCCAACTTGGGAATCTCTTGGGACCCTCTTGCGGAGTTTAGGGATCCTCCTGGGGCCGTTTAGGAGCGCTGGAAGTTTTCAGGAGATCCCGGAAGCTGCTTGGAGCTCATGGAACTGGTTGGAAATCCGGGGGAACGAGCCTTCATGAGAATCTTCAGTTCCCCAGTGATAGGTGTCCAACCCTTGGTAACGACAAGGGGGCGTGCACGAAACTTTCTCCTAACAAAGAGGAGGTTGGTTTGACTGCGCAGGTGGCGCTGCCGCACCGCACGCGGAGGGGTCCGCTGGCCGCGCATTGTTATGTTCGTCATGCATGCGCGTGGCGTGACATGTCTGTTGTAGTCCCTGGCAGTGAACAGCGTAATTACCATACAAATACACAGCGACTGCTGCCCGAGCACGACCTCATTCCTGCGCGAACACGAATTGCGGTCGCTCGAAAACGAAATTGGTCTCGCGCGAACTTGATGTATTTCCAGCACGAACACGAAATGAGGAACATGTTGCCGCGCGAGCTCCAGCACGGAATGCCGCACGAAATATCCACACGAAATTGTTGCGCGAATGTCTCATGCGGTTTCTGGTTTTGGGAGGCGCTCGCAGGCGCGGCTGGGCGCTCGCAAACGAGTCTGGGGAATCAATTGTGGGCGGCAACTCTGGGCGGCCCGTCGTGCGGCCACTTTGGGCGGCAACTCTTGGGCCATGTCGTGCGGGCAATTTCGCGCGGGGAAGTTCACGCGGGCAATTTCACGCCCCTGCGTTCTTCTCCCGGAAACCCATGCTAGTCGATTGCCGCTGGCGAGCCGGCTTGTGTTTGCCGCGGCGACACGTTGATAGGGCACAGCGCCGCTAATTCCGCCAGTCGCAGTGCCGAGGGTTCGTGCGCATGTGAACATGATGACGAGGGAGCGTGGTCCAAGGCCTGCCCCGTTGGGCGCGCTGCCAGGGTTGTCCTGTCCATCCCGCCGTGCTGCACGAAATTGCCCAGGGCGCCCATGCAATTTCGTAGCCAATTCTGTGCCCTATTATGTTTCCAATGGGTCAGCCTCTGTAACTATAGTCGAATGTCGATTAGTAGGTCGACGTTTCCAAATCAAGGGTACCCTTGAGTCTGGTGGTTCGCGCCCCATTTCCTTGCTTTCCTGGGGCGCCGTGTGGTAGCGTGGGTCTCGCGTGCCTTCTCCAATCCAAGTCCACTGTACCTCTCAGGGCTGCAAAGCTGCATGAACCATGGGACACTCAAGTACGTTCTGAACGTACAGTCGTGGCGCTTAAGAAGGACCCCTTTTCGTTGCAGAGTGGCCCCGTGTTTCTTGATTGTTCACATTTTGCCTCAGGTTTCCCTGCGGTTTTCGATGGGAAATCGCAGTTGAACTGGTGGAAAAAGGGGTCTCGTTCCTTATTGAGGGTTCCTTAGGTCAACGCCACGATTGTACGGTGATGGATCGATTGACCCGTACCCACCCCACGTGCCCCTCGGTCTTGGTCCTTGCCCTGGCTCTGCGGGCTCTTCACAGGCTTGTCTCGGGATCAGCAGAGCGCGGTAGTTTTCACAGTGGTGCCAACGCACTTTTGGCGTGCACGTTTTTTTCTCCTGTGTGTTTGTTTGTTTGTCTCTCTCTCCCTCTCTCTCTTTCTCCCTTCTCTCGTTTTCTTTCTCTTTCTCTCTCTCTCTCTCTCTCTCTGTTTCTCGCCCTTTTATCTCCCACGAATGAAGTCGAAATGCGGAGGGTTCGCGTCGCGTCGACGCGACCGCGACCCCAACGCGGGCGTTCAAGTTTGAACGCCGCCAGAGGCTCAAAATCGGCCGACGTGGAACGACTTGACATCCAAAAGCAGCCGATCGTTCAAGGTTGGACGGTCCATGCCGTGTCAGATACCAACGCGGTAGTCGTCACGGCACGAATTTGCCGCAGTTGGGGTCACTCGGTCGCATCCAGTCGTTGATGTATCTGCAAGAAGAATCGAACCGATCCCACAGCTTACGCCACACCGCCAACCCATTGGTCCTTTGGTTGCCCGAGCATTGCCTCACTGTTGCTACAGAACAACGCTTACCATCGTCAGCTCCTAGGGGCCGGTGGAGCCACAGGCATCAGTCAGCCTGCTGGCGGTGACCGGCGTCCGCGTTTGTTTGCTGGTGTGTCTCAGCTGCGGCCCGTTCCCAATTTCAGTGGAGTGTTGGCAGTGATGGATTCTGCTGGTGCCGCGCCCGGAGACCCCGTTGGTCCCTGGGTTTTTCGTGCGGTGCCTTTCCGCGAGCTTTCTGGACATCCGTTGGAGACGACGCGGAGGGCGTCTGCGGGCGTCTTGCTATCTCCGAGGGCACATGGGTCCATCTCTGGAAGAGAAGGAGGGAGGAGGAGTGGGAGGAGGATTGAAGATGAGAGGAGGAGGAAGGAAGGGCCGGAAGCGCCCGGGGACGAGAGGGCCAGAGTTTCTCCCGCATTCGAGTCCTCGCGCTTCGCGGAGTGTACGTCTGGAGCGCGCAGGGTTTGGGGGAGGCTTCTTGGGGCCAGTTTAAGGCCTCTTGGGCCGTTTGCGAACGCTCTGGAGCCGTCCCTTTGGAGGCAGCTTTTGTGGCCTCTCTGGGGCCGTCTTGGGGACAGGGACTACTGGGTAAATTTGAAGCCCCCTCAGACCGTCTTGGGGCCCATTTAAATACTGTCTTGGCCGTCGTCGGAGCCCTCTGAGAGGCCTCTTGGGCCGAATTGGGGTGATGGAGGGGGGCCTCGTGGGTGGGCCGCCTTGGGCGCTCTTCTTTTAAGAAAAAAACATCAATGGTATGGAAATGGCACAGTTCCCCTTAGGGAGTGACGATTTTGCTGGTTGGGGCCTCTTGGAGCCCTCTGGGGGCGTCTTCGAGGCTCCTTTTGCTGTCTTGAGGCAATCTTGAGGCATCTTGGGGCCCTTCGAGGCCCCGTGGAGGCAAACTTAGTGCATTCGGGGGCTACTCAGGGCCATGCCGAGGCCGTCTGAGGATGTCCGGGCGAAAAGTTTTGAGCACATGGGGCCGCCGGCCCTTTCGGCCCGACCACCCTCTCCAAACCAGTTGGAGCGGGCTGCCGGGGAAGGGGGGTTGGGGGAGGAGCAACAGTCCCACACGATGAATAGACCCATGGGATCGGCGAACTCGGAGCCCGATGTTCTGTCGCCGGCCCCGCCTGCTCGGACCCCGCTTGAGCGGCCCCGAGAGGTGCAGCGCGGCCTGGCGGCGGCCGACGAGGACGCGCGGGCGGAGCTGGAGCAGCGGCACCTGGGAAACATGCTCGGAGGGGGCCAGTCGATAGGGGGCGCGACGTTATTCGCGGGTCGCGGTTCCCCGTCCTCCCATCAGCTCTGACTTTTCACACCGGGCGTTTTCGCTCAGATTCGGGCCCCGGGACCATCACAGGTAGATCCGGCTCGAAAAATGCAGCAGAAGGATGGAGGTTTGGGTATGGGGCGGTGATGTTCAGCGATGTTGTTACTTTTGGAGCGTTAAGTCGGGCCTGTCCCTCTACAGGGGGAATATTCACAAGTAGTCAAATCATAGTCTGGGCACGATGTTTTGACCATTTTTAGTTTTTGTTTTGCATTTGGATTGTATGCTTCATGTTTCGTCCCAAATCCGCCTGCAAGGGAAAAGCCCGACCTAATTGTAGCGTCGGATCTCAGTGTTGTCCTCCTCGTCCTCCTCGTCTCCCCCGGCGGGGCGGCGCGAGAGCGCAGAGGTCTTTGCGCCTCGCGCGGGGCGAAGCGCGAGGAGAGGTAGCTACCCTCGGACGGGGCTACGACGGAGGGTTTCTCCGAATGGCTCAGGCGACCCGTCCTCCTCCTCCTCCTCCTCCTCCTCCGCCTCCTCCTCCTCCTCCTGCTCCTCCTCCTCCTCCTCTTCCTCCTCCCCCATACCCTCCTCCTCCTCCTGCTCCTCCTCCTCCTCCTCCTCCTCCTCATCCTCCTCCTCCCCCATATCCTCCTCTTCCTCCTCCTGCTCCTCCTCCTCCGTAGCCACCTTGGCTCAAAACCCATGCTGTCGCGGGCTGAGCCCGCATTGGCACGACTGGATACCGCCAGCCCGCGGCGAGCAAGGCACCTGTACCTGACATCCATATTCGGCCTCTGCTGCAGGATTTGTACCCCTGCACATCCAGTGTTCTCTCCGCTCAGACCTCCCAGCATGGCAGGTGGTCCCTCGGGGACAGCATTCCCGCCCGCTCTGCTGGAGAGTCTCGACCTCGTTCCGACCTTCCCGTCCCAGGAGTTCGTCGGCCGTGGCAAGGGTGGCAAGGGCGCGGGCTCTGCCTCGCCACGCAAGCGTGCTGCGCAGGTTCTTTGTGGTGCTGATGGTGAGCACGCTGATGATGATGTATGGACCAGTGACGACTACCTTCGCCAATTGTGCGGAGACGGATTCGCGGGCCTGCGGGAGGCATTCACCGCCTCGGTCGCGGAGTCTGTTGGCACGACGGTCGCCGCCAATCACACTGTCCTTCTCAACTCTATCGATGCGCTGCGGGCCCAGGTCGCTGGTCAGTCCGGGTCGATCGATCAACAGATTCAGAACGCCGTGCGCCCCCAGGTGGACGCCTTCGCGCGCAAGCTGCAGTCCCAGATCGATGAACACTCAGCGAAGCTTGTCGCTTGCGAGCGGCGCCTGGCTTCACATGATGATGCTATTTGTCAGTTCCGTGCACAGTTTGAGGAGCTCAGGCGTCATCTTGCGGTTGCCGAGAAGCGACCCCAGCCTTCCCCGCAGGCGCCGCAAGGCTTCGACAGCGACCCCGGTGGCACGCTCCTCATCGCGGTCGCGCAGCGACCGACCTCCCTCGAGGCCATGTCCAAGTGCCTGGTGTCCTATCTCTCGGAGGTTGGGTTCGAGGAAAATGAGCACAATATTGACGCCAAGGGTGACCTCCCGCGCAAGCGCTTCGCTGTCCACTTCACCGGCCTGGCCGCCCCTGCTGGCCGCGAGGTCGTGCGGGCCCTCGCTGGCCTCAAGAACGGTCGAGATTGGAAAGAATTCTATGCGGACGCCCCTGGCAGCGACGCGCAGACCAGGGTCCACATCGGCCCCGACAAGTCCCCGCGCCAGATCAAGACTGAGATCGCGTTGCGACGGTGCCGCGCTGCGATCTCAGAGGCATTCCCTCACCTTCGTCTGTTCTCCGACAGGGAGCGCGGCATGGTCTCCATCGGCTGGGGCAAAATATTCAAAGTGGAAGTTGCTGCTGCCGATTCCCCCCCTGCCCTTTTACCAGGGTGCCGCCGAGCCGCCAAGTTCGAGAAGCATGGCCTCTCGAAGGAGCAGATGCTGCGCGTCACCTCAGCCATTTCCCAGCCCCTCGAGGCCTGTGCGCGGTGTCTTTGACGCCGCTCGCCTGATCTCACGCTGTCAACGTTCACCTCCCAGGGGGGCCGCTGCCCTGCGAGTGGCCGCGTGGAACTGCAGGTCCCCCTGCAGAACGTCGGGGCGAAGGCGTCGTTGAAAATGCAATACCTGTCCGAGACCGGCCCCTCCATGTCCATCATCTCGCCTCAGGAGATCCATCGGGGCGCCCTGCAGCTGGGAGAATTCGCGCGTTCTGTCGCTCCGCGCACCACCGTGGCCTCCTGCTTCTGCGGCAACGCGCAGGCAAATCGCGCTCGAGGTGGCGTCGCTGTTCTTCTCCCTCCCCTTGCCCGCCTCCCTAGTGACCCTGTGACCCTGTTCTGGTTCGTCGCGTTCATGTGGCCCCTGGCCGCGCGCTCCACGTCGCCCTCGAGGCGGCGCGCGGTCGCTTGCGCATCTTCAACATCCACGACCACGAGTTGAGTGGCGCGCGCTGCCATTCGGCGCGCGCTGGGGGAGGCGCGCGAGGACCCGCCCATGGCGCTGGCGATCGTCAACGGCGACTTCAGCATCGTAGACGAGGGCGCCCCCCGACTCACATGCCCCTGCTCCTGCCGCTCGGCGGGGTGGTCGTCGCCACCGCGCAGGTGCCCCCGCTTGGTTGTCGGTCTTCGCGGACATGCTGGAGATCGAGGGCAGCGGGCCCGCGCGCTTTGAGGCTGCCTCTGACGAGGCTCGCGTTCAGCCCGTCCTGCCTCTGCTCGTCTGACCCCCCGTCGCATGCGCCGTGATCTTCATTGCGCGACGTTTGCGCGGCCCAGTGGGGGCCGCCCAGCGGGGTCGGATGCCCCCCCCCCCCCATTCCATTTGGAACATTACAAACACCTGATGTGGATCGATGCCGCTGAAGTTCGTGACATGTTGTTCAGAGAGACGCCTGGCTGTGTTCGCGCGTTTCTGCGGGTCTCTCGCATGATTGCACGTTTGGCATGGGGGCAAGATGCTAGATTGGCTCGGCGCACGCTCGAATCCCACCCCGCTGCGTCTGACCGCATCGTCGTTTCTGGCGCCGGGGCCCGTTCTTGATACATCCCCCTTCGCTTGCCGAGTGGTCGCCCAAGATCCAGCGCGAAGCTCTCGAGGCCCACCGGAAGCTAGGGGAGGCCAGGCCGGACAGTTCGGTCTCTGCCCGCAGCGCCCGTCTGCATGTGCGAGCGCTTGAACGTAATGCGCGCATCTGGTCTCCGCTGTCGCGTCGGATATCACTGACGTCGATTCGGAGCCAGGCGAGCGCCTGGCTGCCTCGGCCTAGCATTGGAAGCCCGCCTTCTCGGAGATATCCTAGGATATGGAAGCGGCGGGGGAACGTGTGCCGCGGTGGATCTCCGAGACCGACTGTTCGGACCTCCCGCCGCCCTCCCTGGGCTTATTGCGTCGGGCCCTACATGCGGCCCAAGACTCTGCTCCTGGCATGCATGGGCTACCTTAATCTGCCGGGGAAGCCCTGCCGCTAGGTTTGCATGCTCCGACGCCGGCGTTGGACTGGGTGGGAGAGGGCCAAGCCTCATTCGACTGTGCTTCTGTGACGACACAGGCGTTTCTTCCTAAGGCCGTGACCGACGTTGAGCTGAGAGATTGCGAGCGCACCCGCTCGCCTGACAAATCTAGAGGGCTGGGCCTACGCAGCGCCGATATTAAATTGTTGTCGGCGGCGGTGAATCGGGCCATCCATGCTGCAGATCAGCGAACTGCCCCCCCACGCCAGCGCGGTTTCGTCTGCGGCCGAAACTTCGGGATCTACATCCTGGAACTTGACTCGCAGGCTCGTGAGTTGTCGCTCCTGCCCCCACAGTCCCTCGACATTCCCCTCCTGTTCTCGCTCGGCTTTGGTCGGGCCTGCCCGTCGCTGAATCAGCAGTTTATGGAGTGCATCCTTCGGTCCCTGGGCCTCCCTGGGTTCTTTCTCAATTTCGTCTCCTTCCTTTACTTTGCGGTGGAGGGGGTGGCCCCGTCGCTCGGACGCTTCGCGTCGATCTTCTGGCCGGGCTCGGGATCGTCGTTTGCCTTATCGACGCGCGTGATCTGGAAGGGGATGGGCGCGGCCTTGTTCGGGCCTGCGCCGATGATATCGGTGGCGGTCCGCGAGGGATCCGGCCCGCTTGCGCCGCGCGATGAACATGGTGGCCTTGCTGGCCAACCTGCACATCAAGGTCCCCAAGTGCCTCCTGGCCCCCCTGCCCGGGCCCTTCTCGGTGGAGCTCTCGGCCGAGTTGCCGCTCGCAGTCGTGGGCTGCGCTCCAGTACCTAGGCCTGTGGCTGGGCCCTGCTGTGACGATCGAACGCCAGTGGCGTGACCCTGTTGCCGAATTGCGCGCTCGGGCTCAAGTCATCGGCCACGGGGCCACCCCTCCCAGAACCTCGGTCATTCTATATTGCACGCGGGCTGCACCCACACAGTCGCATGTCGCGCAGTTCGGTGACATGCCGTCCTCTGTGCGGAAGCAGGAGCTCACGGCGCTGGCGCAGACCTTTCGCGTCGCCCTCGGCACCCCCCCGCTCTCGCGCTGGCTATTGCTCCAATCTTGGGGCGGACCTCGCGTGGCCAGATGGGCGCCCCTGGGCTGCGCGAGCCTGGCGCGCGCGGCTTTGGTGACGCCCCAGGCCCACGCCGACATCCTGAAACGTCTTCGGGACGCGGTGAGCTGCAATGACACATGGCGCGCCCTGGAGACGCTAGCTTCGTCGCGCCCATGCCCTGGTTTTTGGAAGTCGGAGGCCTTCGTGGAGATGCTGGAGCGGGCGGCTGCTGGGCGCTCGCCTTCGCCTTCTTTTCCTTCGTAGTCTGCGACCGCGGCCGCGGCTGCCCGCGAGGAGCTGGCTTCCCCCGCCAGCGCCCGCCTCCGCCCTCAGCGCGCTGCTCATGCTGCGCTCCATGCTCTGGCCCCCGCGCCGTCGCCGCGGGTGGCGCTGTTGGTTCTCCGCCCGGGCAAATTGCTTCCCCGCCACGCAGCCGCGCTGCCTGGCCCCCCCTGGGACGGCGTCGCTGCCTCGCTGGCGTGCTGCCCATGTTCTGGGGCGTGGGCGACGGTCCGCGCGCGGGCTGACGGCTGGCTCGCCTGCCACCGCATCTTGCACCCCTTGGGAAAGAGAGCCTGCACATTCGGATGTCAGGCTGGCGATGACCTACGCCACTATTCTCGCTGCAGGCCTTTGCGCCGTGCTGTTCAGCGCGCCCTCGCCAGACCAGCCCCGCTTCCTGCGCTGCTGCGCTGGGGCCTCCTCGACCACAACACTGCGGCGTTCCACTCCCTCGCGGCAGCGCGCGACACCTGCCGCGCTGCCCGCCGCCTGGAGGACCGACCGCTTTCCGCCGAATTGCTGGCCTCTTGCGCCCTTGCGGGGGTTCGGTCCGCGAACATGGCTCGGCCGCGGCGCGTGTCTGCTCGCAAGCGTTATCTTATCCTACCTCCCTTTCCGCGCTGTTCATCATCTCCGTCGCCCTCTTCCTCGACGGCTTCTGCGACTCCGCGGCCGACCCCGCTGGCCTCGTCGCCATCGACCCCGGCGCGCACCGCGCCGCGCCGCCCGCGAAGCCCAAGTCCTGGGATCACGCCTGCTGCGTCTTCTCCCTCGACGGCCCCGACAGAGATTGCCGCTGACGTTGAAGTGATCGACGACGACGACCCCAGTGTCACGCCTGTGGTCAGCGGCGCGCATGTGGAGGACCTGGTCGATAATGATGGGGACCTTCCTGTCTGTTGCTCTGCCCTTTCCTCATCGCCCTCAACCTCTACATGTTCAGGTGGAACGCAAGTCCCGTCGCGGGCGTCGGGCTCGCCGTCGCCACCTGCTGGATGCAAGTCGTTTGCTTCGTCGAGCGTTTGCAGCGGCGTCAGATCGCAAGTCCCGTTGTCGCGCGCGGGCTCGCCGTCGCCACATGCAGATGGATTCGCCGTGGTGTCGCCCACCGAGGGCGTGAGAGCGCAAGTCCCGTTGTCGCGTTCGGACTCGCCGTCGCCACATTGCGGGCGCTTCGTCGATGGCCTGCTGGCCTCGGGCGTTAGATCGCAAGTTCCGTTGTTGTGTTCGGGCTCAACGTCGTCGCGTTCTGGGCGCCTCGTGACGGGCGACCCTGGCCTTGGCGTTAGATCGCAAGCACCGTTGTCGCGTTCGGGCATCACGTCGACACATGCTGGATTATCTGGCGTCGGCCCGTCGACCTCGGCGACTGCGAGTGGACCAATTGAGTTGCCGACATCTGTTGCCGCGAGTCGGTCCATTGACGCGCCTACTTCAGTGACGCGCTCGGCCCCAGCCTCCGCGCGCGCACCGATTGTTCCTTCGGCGCCAGCGCCAGCCTCCACGGGTGGGTCAATGACGCGGGCGGATCCCTCGGGAGTAGCGCGCCCGCCCGCCGCCCCACCTCTGCTCCCGCCTGCCCCCCCCCCCCCCCTCCCCCCCGTTCTGTTGTCCCGCCCTGCTACCTCCGCTTCTTCGCCTACTCCGATAATTTCTGCGCGCCCACTGTCTCGCCCATGATCCATCTCTGCCGTTCGCCCCCGTTGCGTGACACCGCTCATGCCCAGCCCCATCCACCTCCCGCCCTGGACTCACGCGCGTGGCCCAATCCTTTCTGCTAGCCGCCAGTCGAACGTCCCTGACTTCGCTGGCCGTGCCCTGATTGGCGGCACGGCCACTCCCCCATTCGTCCCTCGCTCCAGGGCCCTGCCTGCCTGCCTGTGCCCTGCCCTGCCTGCGCTCCCCGCCTGGTCCTTCCCCCTGCGTTTATTTTCATTCGTCTGGCGTTCCCGACTTGCCCCGCCGCTCCCCCACCTGTCCTTCGCTCCTGTCGAGCCTTCCTGCTCTGGCTTCTGTCTGCCCCCCGCCCCCCCCGTCGCCGCGGATCGGCCGCCAACGTGAAACAGCGGCTCCCGCGCCGCCCCTCGTGTTCGGCGACTTCGCCGCACAGGCGTCGGAGGAGGCCGGGCGAGCCCTCCCACCGCGCCCGGGGTAGAGCGGTTGGAGTGACCCCCGCCCCTGCGCTCCTCTCGTCCTCCTCCTCCTCCTCCTCCTCCTTTTCCTCTTCCTCCTCCTCCTCCTCCTCCTCGCCCTCCCCCATCCGTAGCCATTTTGGCTCAAGATGCTGAGTTCCTCAGGGGGGCATGTGGACGCCGCTAGTCCGCGGCAGTGCCAGGGCTGTTCAGCCCGACGCTTTCTCTCGAGACCTGCACGGGGAGCTGTGCGCTGCCGTCCAGAGTCTGTCAGCACAGACCGATGCCAGCGGGTCGCAGGAGCCCGTATTCGGTTTGCACATCGCGTGGGAACTGGGCGTTCGACTTCCGCATCAAGAAGAATGAGGGCGTGTGCGGTGTCTGTTGGTCGCCCATCGATGTTCCCAAGTCCAAGAATGGTGGTCAGGGTGACGGGCCTCCATGGCGCGATGGGCCACGTCATGGACGACCTGGGCAAGCTTTCGACACGTCGGCTCTCCTCGCGATGCTAGCACCTTGCCCCGCCTTCAAGTCCGACCCCACGGCCGTCGAGAAGTTGCAGTCCCAGAATTCTCAGTACCAGAAGAGTCTGGCCAAGCCGAAGGAACCGCGCGGAGAGGCCCAGCAGCTCTACCGCGCGATGGAGCAGAAGCGCGCAGCTATGGAGTCGGCAGCGGAGCGAGCCACGGAGCTTCAGCAGGCTCTGGAGCGTGCCAATGCCGACGTCGCCATCGCATCTCAGCTGTTCCTGGAGGCGGAGTCCAAGCACAAGTCTGCTGTCAAGAGGCTTGCGCAGCAAGCCGAAGTTTCTACGCAGAAGGAAGGGCGCGCCACCGACGGCAAGCGCATCCTCTCTGCCTTCGACGAGTCCCTCTTTTCGGACCTTTCGGACATCGACGGCGAGGCGCAGGCGCAGCTCGCACAGATCGAGGCTGACATCAAGGCCAAGGTTGAGGAGGTTGCCAAGTTGCAGGCAACGGTCCTGGTGGCGGCGGCGAAGGCCAAGGAGATCAGGGCTTCACCGCCCAAGCGTTCCAGGATCGACGAAGAGGGTGCCGCAGCCGTGGGCACAGGGGCGCAGTCGGACGCCGAGGAGGCTGCCTCTCCGACCGATGTTTCCCCACCGGCCGCTGAGCAGGCCGAGCCCACTGTGGAGGAGGCGGCAGTCAAAGAGCAAGTCAAGTCCGCGCTGGCCCAGGCAAGGATAAAGGTCGAGGGCAAAGCTGCTGCTGGCCTCGGTCCTCGGCTTGCTGCTTCTAGTGGGGCCGCTGCTGCGAGGTCTCGCTCCCGATCGGCAGCCGACCTGGCAAGTGTGCACTTCCAGTGCCAGTACGACCTCTTTATCATCGGCTTCCCAGGGTGCCTTATCCCTGGGGAACCCTACATCATGCACTACGGCTGCGGCTGCTCTGGTGAATGGCGTTGCAAATGGTACCTCGACCTCGCCGATTTCGATTGCGGTGAGGGCCTCCGAGCATGCCATCAAGACGGACAGTAATATATTCTATGCAAATATATCTGAGTGGGGCCTTGTAGACCAAGGTTTCTTTCGTGGTCAGGCCGAGGAATATGATATCCTGGGCATTGTTGAGACGCGCATGAGGGGTGATCGTTTATCTCGTGCCATTGCGGATATGAGTAAAGATGGTTGGAAAGTTATTGCTACACCTTCTATCCCGACAGGCAGGTCGGCGCATGGCGCATCTGGTGGAGAATGGTTGGTTACTCGTAAGACGATTTCGACCACCAGCTTTGAGCACTGGCGTGCAGCTGGCGTTACTTCCAGAGTTGAAGACCCATTTCGAGGCGTTTGTCCTGGCTTGTGGCACACTAGAGTTGGCAATTATTTGGTGGTGGCGTGTTACCTTCTCCCCGGGCACAAGCTGAGAGGAGATAATGAGAAGACTCTAGTACGGTTGGCTGGCTTTCTGAAATTGATCAGAGATCCTTGGATTCTTGTTGGCGACTGGAATGTTACCCCTGCTGAGTGGGACACCACCGATTGGATTGCGAAGCTCGGTGGACAGCTGAAGGTACCCATTGACGGGCAGGTCACGTGCAACAGAGGTTCTGGCACCCTGATCGACAATGTGATTGCGTCCACCAAAGTTGCGGATGCGCTTCGTGTCAACATTGTGCCACGCGTTCCATGGAAGACGCATGCAGGTCTCCCCATTTCGTTGAAGGCGGGTAAAGTCAGTTGGTGGATTCGCACGTTGTCGATCGCCAGACCGCCGCCCACCGTTTCCAAACCTCGACGGCAGCCAGACCCCGACAGTAAGAGGCAGAAGAAGATTACTGAGCCTAAGCAGAAGCGACGCGAGCAGTTATCGGTGGCCCTTCAAGATGCCTTCGACGAGCTATACCCTGAGAAGGATTTTCATCCCATCGACTCGACGCCTTTCGCCATCCCGTTGGATCTGCGGCGGGAAGTTCGTGCCCAGCCTTACGAAGGGCGGCCCGTGCATCGTCCTCGTGTGGTGCAAGATGCTGACCCTGTGGCTCGTGATGCGCTCTCTGTCATGTATGGTGAGTGGATTCAGGCTGTTGAGAACGCTACGATGCTGCGCCGCGATGTCCATGAGGAAGATCGTTCGGAGTTCTGTGGGAGAGCGAACGGATACGATTTCAGTTGGTCTCAGTCGCGATCGACTCCTGGGCGGGCGCATCTTCGAGACCAGCACTTGGAATGGTGGGAGCTTTGTACCGCGCTTATCCACAGGTACGTGCTGCTCCGCAGAGCTGGGAAGGCCCAGGAGTTGGAGTCGTGCGTCTGCAAGCTTGACGAGCTGCTTGAGTCCGCTTCTGCCATTGACTTTCCGTTCGACAAGGATCCTGATTGTGATTGGGCTGGTTGGTTTGGCGCTGTTTCCAACATCACTGATGCTGACGACCTTGAGCTCCAGTCGCTCATGGAAGCCGCCGACAAGTATCGATCCAGAGCTGTCGGCCAAGCTCTCTCCAAGGCGCGTAGAGGGCATCAGTCGTGGGTATTGAAAATGTGGAAGTCTTCCCCTGGAGTGTTACACCGTCATGTGAAGGGAGACCTGAAGGTGAAGCCCGCGGAGCTCACACGAGGCAATGATATCTACGCCACGCCCAACAACATGATGGACTTGCGGGCTGATGAATGGAGTGACGTCTGGAGTGATCCCAAGGCCGATCTGGACAAAGTTCGGGCAGGTTTCATGCACTTAAGGAGTAGGGCTCGTGCTGATCCACTTGAGGACATCACTCTTGAGGCATTGGAAGCAGTTCTGTCGCGCTCCAACGCCAAGAAAGCCAAAGGAGTGGATCCCCTGGGCCCCATCGAGCTGCAGCGGCTGCCTGAGCCAGCCAAAGCTGAGTTGATTGGTTTACTTCATGCTGTTGAATCTCATTGTTTGTGGCCGCAACAAGTATTCATGGTCATTGCTGCTATTTTGCCGAAGCCTAGAGGAGGTGATCGCATCTTGGGTTTGCTACCTCACCTAGTTCGGCTGTGGGCCCGCCTGCGTAGCCAGCACGCGTTGAACTGGAGTGAAGCCCTCGAGGAGCATTGGGATACAGCTGTTCGTGGTTCTCCGGCGTTGCAGGCTGCGCTGATCCGCTCCTGCATGGACGAGAGTTGCCGCGAGATGGGTATTGCCTCGTCGACGCTTCTCTTGGATCTGGAGAAATTCTACGACAGCTTGTCCTTCTCATTGCTTTGTGTCTCTGCCTTGCAGCAAGGGATTCCTCCTCAAGTTCTGGCTCTCGAGTTTCAGATGTTCATGGCCCCTCGCCACCTGGAGGATCAGCATTCGATCAGCAAGCAGATACTGCCGCAACGCAGTGTTGTGGCTGGTTCCTTGAATGGCGGGCGACTCGCGAAGGCCTTTTTAGGGCCAATTCTTCAGCGCGCCCAGCAGCGTTTCGAAGGTCGTATCATGTTGCGCACCTTCGTGGGCGCCACCGTGCTGAGGGTTGAAGGCCCAGAGAGAGTTGTTGGCGACCTTCTCATGAAATCAGGTTGTGTGTTGTGTAATGATCTCGTTTCTGCTGGACTGACGGTTAGTTCTAAGACTGTGGTGGTTTCTTCGTCAGATTCCTTGTCTCTCAAGGTTTGCAATGGGCTTCGACGAGCGGGAGTTCCAGTCGCCGCAGTTCGTCATGCAGTGGATCTTGGGATGGATGTTTCTGCTGGCAGGTACCGCTCCCGACACAAAGCGCTGGATCGTGTCAAGAGAGCCGAGTCGCGGGCCATGGCTATTCGTCGTATGCGCAAGCACGCCAAGCTCCGCAAGGTCACCAGTGCACTGCGGTCTACAGGGGCAAAGCCGCAAGGGACCTATGCTCACCAAGCGCATGGTATCCCTCGTCATCTCTTGGTGCGGTTGAGACGACAGGCGGCTCAGAGCGCTGTTGGTTCAGGCCCTGGTCGTTGCCTCACGTCGTCCATTGCAGCAGCTCTGGGGCGGCGTGATCCTGCTAAAGTCCTTCGACGTGAACACTTGGCGGCTTGGTTGAAGATGCGGCGTGAGCATCCTGATCTTCATGCTCGTATTGCTCTAAGTTGGGGCAAGATTTTATCTCGGTTGCGATGGAACTCGACGGTGGAGGATCGCCAAGGGCCCTATTGGCGCTACGGCAGCCACGCTCATGGACATTGGTTGGGTCCCGCACAGTCGGATGAGTTGGGAGTCCGAGTCTCATGTTTGTGCCATCCCTTCCTGCGCTGATGAGGCCTTTTCTGACTTCAGCCCCGACTTCACGGACTTGCTGGACGATGTGGAAGCTACAGTGAATTCCCTGCTGTGGACGGCCGCTGGACATCACGAAGCGGGCGAAGATTTGGCTAGTGGCGCAGATATGATGCATATCTCCATCGTGAACTGGACCGGCTCGCCGACGTCAACGGCGAAGACCTGGTGGCGCTCAACCTCGCGGTGGTGAGCGGTGGCCAATGGCCTCGCCTGAGGCTGAGGGATGCAGGCTACGTCGTACCCAGCCTGTGTCCTCGGTGCCACGAGAAACCAGAGTCATTGTTCCACAGAGTGTGGGAATGTTCTGCGAACACCCAGCATAACGATTTCGACGATTCCCAGCATTTGTATCCTGAGGCACAGGCACAGCATGAGGCGTATCCTGGATTCTGGCTTCGAGGCGTGCCTGGAGTGAGTGAGACCGTGCCCACCTTCGCTCCTCTCCCCCCCACGGTTGTTGATTTTGGATCATTCGACCTGATTCCCCGCGACGCCGAAGGTTTCGTGACGATCTTCGGTGACGGGTCGGGGGGACGCTTCTCGAGCGACCCTCGGCGTCGCAGGGTCGGGGCGGGGATCATAGGCCTCACTCCTGTCGGTTGTTCTGGGAGCCCTCCGCGGGACGTGGGTCCACTCTCGAGGGCAGAAGGCAGCCCGTGCCCCGCGCGGAGCTCCTGGCTTTCCTCATGGCTCTTAGAGCGTCTTCTTGTAATTTGCGCTTTGTCACCGATCACAGGCCGTTGGTGGATACTTGGGGCAGAATTCAGCGAGTTGGTGAGTCGTGTTGGACTTTGGGTTCGAACGCTGATCTCTGGTCCGATATCCTGAAGGCTGTCGCCTCCCGCGGACCTGGAGTGATCGATATTGTTTGGACGCCCTCTCATGTAGAGCTCGATCAGTTGCCTGTCCCGACTGTGCAGCAGGTTTTATATATATATATATATATATCATATATCATATGTTTTGTAATGAATCAGCGGACTCGCTTTGTAATGAATCAGCGGATTCGCTCGCTGGATTCATGGCCGAGATTGCGTGGTCTAAGTATGTTGTTTCCCCTGCCCCCAGCACTGACGAGCGGGATGCTATGGCCTCGTTGATCCGTCGGCGTGCGCGGAGAGCCCTTGCGCGTTGCATCCTGGCGGATCCATGGATCGCGGAATGGCAGGCCCCCAGTAGAGGCGAGGCTGCGCTCCCGAGGCTCGCTCGCTCGCTTCGGGACTCGCCTCACGTGTGGGCCCGTGCGGGCCCGAAATTTTGGTGCAGGAGGTGCGATTTGCTCGCCAACCAGGACTCGATTTTCCAGGTTTGTGAATATCCCTGCAGGGGCGGTGGAACTAATGAGTTCTCGCCCTATTCTGGCCCGCGGGTTGTGGGGGGGAAAACCTTCCATGCGACCCATCGGCTCCATTTCTGGCGGAAGTATTTGCTGATTTGTTGCACCCAATGTGGGAGGCCTGCACGTCGGATGCACGGCAGCTTGTCCCTCGATGCGAGCCCACGGCTAAGGGCAGACAGAACTTGGCCCGCATGGATCGAGGCGAATACCCACACCCAGGAGGCCCCCCCAAAGCGGTGAGGGAGGCCCTGGGTTCCTGATCTTGTAAGTTTCTGCACTTGCATTCTTGGCACTGTTTTTGACCTACGCTGTCATTTTACCTCAATGTTCCCAATGTTCCTCGTCCTCCCCCTCCCCCTCCTCCTCCCCCCCTCCTCCTCCCCCTCCCCCTTCTCCTCCTCTCCTCCTCCTCCTCCTCCTCGTCCTCGTCTCCTCACTCCTCCCTCCCTCCTCTCCCTCCCCCCTCCTCCTCCTCCTCCTCCTCTCTCTCCTCTCCTCCTCCTCCTCCTCCTCCTCCTCCTCCTCCTCCTCCTCCCCCCCCCCCCCCTCATCCTCTCCCCTCTCCTCCATGTTCTCGCCCCCCTCGTCCTCCTCATCCTTCCTCCTCCTCCCTCCTCCTCCTCCTCCTCCTCCTCCTCCTCCCCCTCCTCCCCCCCCTCATCCTCTTCCTCCTATTCCTCCTCCGGTAACCCGCGGCCCCGAGGGCACCGGCGCAGGCTAGGACAAGGACAACTTGTTCGTGATGTTGCATGTTCGTTCGCAACGTCGGATCTCACGGTCGGTCAGGATCGTTGAATGGATCCCTATTCCCATCCCAGTCCCCACCATCCTACCGCCCCTGTTGGGGATGCGCCTGTGGAAACTTGGAAAGAACAGCGCGCGTCCCCGTTCAAAGGGGCGAAGCATCCAACGCGGCCCAGGCCGCGCCAACGAGGACAGTCGGACGGGCATAGAACCGAGGCAAATCCGTTGCAGAGCGTTCCAGAACGCTCCCAGAGCCAGAGAGTTCCAGCGCGCTCTGAGAAGTCCGTGGCGCCCGATGTAGATCCTCCAGAGCCGCCGGGTCTCATAGTTTTAAGTCGGGCGTGTCTCTTTGCAGGAATAATATTTAAAACTATTCAAATTGTTTGAAGACGTTTCTTTTATATTTGGTATGTTTGATTTTAGGTTGCGCATGCTTGGTATTGTTTATTTGTCGTCCAAAATCCGCATGTACGAGGACGCGACCGACCTAATCATATATTCGCGATGCAACCTCACCCGAATGCGTCCTCGTCCCTGCTTCGTCTTGCCGAGAGTCGAGGCAGCCGCGGGCGTCATTGGCGTTTGCCCGCCCCGTCCTGGGCATCTCCCATTGCGGGTTTCTCTCCGCAGCCCGGGCCTGCTTCGATGGGGGGGGGGCAGTCTTCGGGAGGATCGACATGGGCACGGACAAAAATTGGTGCACTACCCGATAACATTTTCTGCTCACTTTGAAGGGCCCAGGCCACGCTGCTGGGGATGGGAATCGGCTAATCGATACCCAACAGCCGTTTTTGCTCATCTTGAGCAGGACTCGCTGTCCGCGCCGCCGCGGGCGTTGTTTTTTGGAGACAACAAGCCGCATGACCAACAGCGGCCGCTGTCGGTTTTGGAAAATATTTGTTGCATGGCATGGTATTCATTTGCTCCGTGCACATTTCGGGCGTCCAAGAAATTGGTTTTCGGCCATGCGCAAAGGGGGGGGCCTGTTCTTAGAAGGCGCAAGCCTTGTCTGTAGATGCAAGGCGCGGGCCTTCTAAGGAACGGCCTCCTTCTAAGAAGCCCCCCTTTTGCCCTCCAACGCCAGATTCGGGCGAATGGGTCTTTTGCACACGTGGGTCCTTTGCAAACGGGGTCTTTAAAACGTACGCAATAGTTCGTGCAATTGTTCGCGCTGGAGCGTGCTGGATGCGAGCAGAACGTGTTGCATTTTGCATCGCTTGTCCGCGAGAAGAGGCCAGGCGCCATGAGCCACACGATGAATTATTGCACTTTTGCCCTGCGACCTCATTTCGAAAGCCCCCCTTGGCCTGGAACCAACAACGCGTTGCAAACATCGAGAAGGAGGTGTTTCTGCATGTTCAGCCTCTGGGGCGCCTACCGGGCCCGGGGACGGCCCAAACCCGACTCGGGCTAAAAAATTGGTCCCGGGGAATGGGTCGAGACTTCCATGGACCGCGCAGTGAAAAAATGAAGACATTGGATGTCAGGGACAAAAGTTAGACCTCTGGTCACGAATTCCAGTAACGAGTCAGCCGTCGACGTCTTCGAAGCCCTCGCTCGGACCCCACATTCGACCCCTTCCTGTCGCGACCGAGATTCGGCGCCACCGAAATCCGTTACCGAAACTTTCTGGTCGCGGATGATCTGGGTGGAGTGGTTTGGGGATTGACTTTTAGCGGATCTGGGCCAAGCGGGAGGCCTGGGACCGAGGCCTCCGACGATGTGATGCTCCAGTCCGCGGCCACAGAGGTCTCGGCCTCGATCTCGGGGGCAGTTTTTCATCCCAGGTTAGTGTGTGATTGCCGCCGGCCCCGGAAACGGTGCCAGAGGGCCGACGTCTATGAGTTCGGTAGCAGATCGTGAGCGCGCGCTAGCGGCTCGCAGACGAGGAGGAAGGGCCGATTTGACGTCGATGAGCCTCGGTTAGCATCGGCGAACGCTGATTCGCAAGAGCCGGCAAGGTGGCACGGGATGCTCCCGTGGCTTGGGAGCAGGGAGCGCACCACCGCCACCACTTGTGGGGATTCAGGATGAGCTGGTGCGCGGGATGCGCGTGTGCACGAGGACCCGCGAGAGCGCCCGAAACGACATACACCACCACCACCACAAACCGTGGCCACCATCTGCCTCCATCCTCCAAAAAGGTGGTGGTGGTGCGCTCCCTCCTCCCTCCTCTTCCTCCTCTTCCTCCTCCTCCTCCTCCTCCTCCTCCTCCTCCTCCTCCTCCTCTCCCTCCTCCTCCTCCTCCTCCTCCTCCTCCATCCTCTGCATGAGGTGCCACCGAATGCGGATGAAAAGCGCCAGGGCTGAAGAAGACGTATCACGCCAGAGGTACGGGGGAAAGGTGCACGTTTCGACCTTGGAGGCCCCCTTGTGGGACCTAAAGGGCCCCTTTAGGGGCCCTCAAGCCTCTTTTCGCAAGGCCCCTTTTCTGCAGCTCTCGCTGCCCCCCCCTCCAGCCCTCGCTGCCCCCCCCCCCCTGTGCTGCCCCCCAGTCACCGAGCGCCTTGGATAATGAAGCACCCCCCCTTGAAGACTTGAGAGTTGAGTCTCCCGGGCCAAGACAGAGTTGGTTGGGGGAGTGAGACGGCGAGGCCGAATTCCATCATCGCCCAGGAAAGTGCGAATCGAAGTTGCTGTTTCTTTTTATGCTGACTAGCAACGCTATCACGAACGTGTGGCAGGGGTATGGGATTCTCACTATTGCGAAGGCCTGACGGCCGGTGCCGCCGACCCTGTTCGCAATGCGCAGCAAGAGGCACGGGCTGTGGGATGGTTTTGGGGAACGGGGAGAAGGACGAGAAGGTGGGGGAGGGAGGTGTCGTATCTGACCCGGGACTTCCCCGGGACTCCCCCGGGACCCCCCCCGGGACCTCCTCTCCCCCCCCCGTCGGGGAAGGGAAAGGGAAGGGGCTTCCCTTCGACTCAATGACGACGTTGCTCAAGGTCGGTACGGGGGGGGGGCGTCGTATCTGACTCGGGGGGGGGTCGCTACCCCCCCCGCCCCCCCCCCCCTCCCGGCGGGGGAGGAATGAAAGGGAAGGGGCTTCCCTTCGACTCAATTACGAGGTTGCTCAAGGTCGGCTTGGCTGGAGCCCAGGGGAAGAGGAGTCCCAGGGGGGGGCGTCGTATCTGACCCGGGGGGGGGGTCGCTACCCCCCCCCCCCCTCCCGGCGGGGGAGGGATCAAAGGGAAGGGGCTTCCCTTCGACTCAATTACGAGGTTGCTCAAGGTCGGCTTGGCTGGAGCCCAGGGGAAGAGGAGTCCCAGGGGGGGGCGTCGTATCTGACCCGGGGGGGGGGTCGCTACCCCCCCCCCCTCCCGGCGGGGGAGGGATCAAAGGGAAGGGGCTTCCCTTCGACTCAATTACGAGGTTGCTCAAGGTCGGCTTGGCTGGAGCCCAGGGGAAGAGGAGTCCCAGGGGGGGGCGTCGTATCTGACCCGGGGGGGGGGTCGCTACCCCCCCCCCCCTCCCGGCGGGGGAGGGATCAAAGGGAAGGGGCTTCCCTTCGACTCAATTACGAGGTTGCTCAAGGTCGGCTTGGCTGGAGCCCAGGGGAAGAGGAGTCCCAGGGGGGGGCGTCGTATCTGACCCGGGGGGGGGGTCGCTACCCCCCCCCCTCCCGGCGGGGGAGGGATCAAAGGGAAGGGGCTTCCCTTCGACTCAATTACGAGGTTGCTCAAGGTCGGCTTGGCTGGAGCCCAGGGGAAGAGGTCTCCCAGGGAAAGGGAAGGACAGAGACGACGAGTACAAAGAATGACGGAGATGACGGCTCGAACGGAAAAGCCCCTCACACACGCCGACAGGGTCGGCGGATTTCAGCTTTTTAAAACTCATGAACGTGTGGCAGGGCTATGGGCTATGGGATTATCATCATTTTTGCTTTTCCGAGTCACTGAGGCATGGTCCTGGGATTATGATCCGTACATCCGCGATGCTGGGACGAGACACTTGTTGCCCCCCCGAGCCCCGAACTTTATCATCCCCAGGGTGTGGCTAGCAGGTGTGCACATCGGTCACTGAAAGTGGGTATTTCTGGATTCCCAGATCCCAATCTACTTCGGGCGCCTCCCTACTTCAATAATCGGCCTGGACCCCAATCTACATGATCCGCCTTCCTATTTCATGTGTTCACCGACTTCTTCCGACCGACGGGCATTCCGTTGCGCGACGCCCAACGCTGTCTCGGGCCAGCTCTCCTCCGGGGCGTTCGATGCCGCGAGCGCCGCTTCGACCTGAAGCTCGGCCTGGACGCGCCCGCGCGCGGGGCGCTGGCCGAGCTGGGGCGGACGGTGGGGCCGCTGCTGGAACAGCTTGTGTCGGCGGAGGGGCGCTTGGTGGAGCTCGCCTGCATTCGTGTGCTGCTGGAGGTTCGGCATCGCTCGTGCGTGTGCGCATGCTTTCCTCGGCGAGGGCCCTCGAGGAACACCCTGGATCATCGGGCCAAGAAGGCACGCACGACATCGCACGGGGAAGGGATGTCCGAGCGATGGCGAGGAGGCGGCCCTGGCCCAAGGTGGCCCTGACTTTCCCAGGCCTCCCTTGCGTCTTGAGCATATCGAGACGGGGGGAGGAGGAGGAGGAGGAGGAGGAGGAGGAGGAGGAGGAGGAGAGGAGGAGGAGGAGGGGAGGAGGAGGAGGAGGAGGAGGAGGAGGAGGAGGAGGAGGAGGAGGGGGAGGGGGAGGGGGGAGGGGGAGGAGGAGGAGGAGGAAGAGGAGGAGGAGGAGGAGGAGGAGGAGGAGGAGGAGGAGGAGGAGGAGGAGGAGGAGGAGGAGAGGAGGAGGAGGAGGAGGAGGGGGAGGGGGAGAAGGGGGAGGTGCAAGTGTTGCGGTTTTCGGCCTCTGGGGGCTCTTACTGGGCCCCAGTGCCTCCAGAAAACGACTCGGGAGGAAAAACTGGTCCCGGGGAAGGGGTCCAGACCTCTGGTGGCCGACGCGGCGACAAAAATCACGTCGGGGGCTTGGGTTTCCTCAGAGGAGGGCGAGCTCAGGCGGCGGTAGTTGGCCTTCGGGGAGGGTTCGTCGCCACGGCTGGACGTAGCTCGGAGAACTGGTGCGCTTGGACCCCGAGGGGGGGTGGTCCAGGGGCCGACCTTGAGCTGCCGTTGTCTCAAGTCGCCCTGCTCCGCTTCCGAGGGATACTACACCAGAGCACCCCTCGCGAGGTCCAGAGGGCACCAGGTGGCACTGGAGGTCCCAAGATGGCGGGAGGCGCTTGCAGCACTCGTAGCGTGAGATCCGACCCCGAACTAAACCTCTGGGTTGTTTTTGACTTTCGCAGCGGCGATCGCGACAGCAACAACTCGGAGCCAGTTGTTTGTCAAGGAGTGGCACGTCCCTTCCCAGGCACCCCCCGCTCTGCGATATGTAGATGCGGCTCGTAATTAGCAATATAGCGACAGAGAGTTGTCAATGTACGTCCAAAACGGGCGGTCATGTTCTTTTGGTTTGGGGTCGATCGTGACGCAACCAAGCACGTTGGGCCAGGACCACTTCTAGCAACACCCGGTGTATCGTCAGCGACCCTGGCGCTGAGCAGCAGCCGCTGCACGCGGACACCAGGGCGGACGTTCGCGCAGTGCCAAGGGGGCACCACTCGAGGGGTCACGGCCTCCTCCTGGAGAGACGAGAATCGAGGAGGAGGGGGGGCGGTCGAGGATCGAGGAGCGCCAGGGCGCTTCCTTAGGAGTCCTGGCCTGGCTCTGGGCGGTCCTGTGAGGCTCCCGTTTGCCCGAGGAGGCCCTGCCCCCCCTCAGTCTCGGCGGTGGCCCCCTCTGGCACTGCCCGGGGCGTGAACAGCTGCGCCCCGCTGATCACCGTCTTCGTCGCGCTGCAGCGGGTCACCTCCGAGATGGGCCCGACGCTGCTCTGCCCCGGCACGCACTCGGCCGAGTGGCACACGACGCTGGAGCGAACAGCGCCGTCGGCGCGCGCGGGCGACGCCGTCCTGGACTCCTTCGGCGCCGCCGCCGTGGCCTGCGAGGCGGGCACGGCGGTGCTGATGGACTCGCGGCTGCTGCACTGCGGGGGCAGGAACGCGGCCGAGGGCGAGGGCGGCAGGCGCCGGCGCCTGCTGGTGGGCCGGATGCGAAAAGCGCGGCATGGGCATCGGCTGTCGGAGGCCCGTGCGGTTTTCTTTCGAATTTTTGGAGGTGGATGGACCTCCTACCATATGACACGTCGATTGAGGAAGTGGCCGTTTTCGGCTCGCGAGAGGGCGTCGCGGCCGTCATTTTGCGGGTCCAGGTCCGTCGGTTTCGGTCCCGGGCCGTTTTCGCTAAGGGGAGGTTTACTAACGGGAGGTTTGTCCACCGCCGAAAGTTGTGCAGAAACATGATGTTTCGGAGGTCCCCGCGGATGTCTTAAAGTCTTAGATCGGCGCTGGGCCCCCGCGTGGCAGCGCCTCCGGCGCCGCCCCTGGCGCGCTCCGCGCGCCAGGGAGGGAGGTCCAACGCCGATCGAAGAAATCCGCGCGGACCTCCGAGGGGTCATGCTTATGTGCGGATGGAGGCGGAAGCCGTCTCGAGCGTGGCCTTCATCCCCGCACGGGGCGGACGAGAGGTTGTCCTCGGGAGCTGCGGCTGCGTTCTCGAGGGCCTTGGTCTCCGCATTCTCGGGTTAAGTCGGGCCTGTCCCGCTACAGGAGGAATATCCAAAAATATAAAATATAGTCAGGGGACGATTTTGTGAGTATGTTTTGCCATTTGGGTGTGTTGTTTGACTATTGTTTGATTGTTCTCCTAAAATCCGCCTGTAGGGGCCCATGCCCGACCTAATTCTCGGGCAAGAGACCAGTGGGCACCAGCCCTCCGCAGCTGGCTTGAGCAGCGTCCATGGAGGTCGACGGCAACAGAACAAGGGCGGCGCCAGGGGTACCGCCCAGGAGGGGTCCAGCGCAGATCCGCGAAGTCCGTGCGGACCTCTGAAAGTGTATGTCAGTGCTGTTACGTTAATCATCCAGGCTCGTCGGGAGGGGAAACTACACAGACACGAATAGTCGTCGATCCCCGATGAAAATAAGGGAGAACAAGGGAAGTGAGGGGGGGAAGATGAGAGTCCAGAATCTCTGATAAAAGATCGGGAGTCCTGGGACTTGCGTCTATTTAACTGTGTGTCCCTGGGCCTCCCCCCTCTCCTCCTCCTCCTGCTCCTCCTCCTCCTCCTCCTCCTCGATCGGCGCCGAGAGAAGGAGAATGTCTTCTCGCTTCCCATCGTCGTCGTCGTCTCCGTCGTCGTCGTGGTTGTCGTCGTCGTTCTCGCAGTCGTCGCCGCCGCCGTCGTCGTCGGCGGCGTCGTCGTCCTCGTCTTTGTCTTTGACGTCGGCGTCGGTGTTGTTTTCGTCGTCGTCGTCGGGGTCGTCGGTGGCGTTTTCGTCGTCGGCGGCGATGGCGTCGTCGGCGTCGTCATTCGGCGGCGAGCGAGGGGGGAAGTGAGAAGGAGCGGGCCTTCAGAAGGCTCGGAAGCCCCCCAGCATTCTGAGAAGTTTCCGAAACCTTCCCCGGAGCCTCAGAAAACCTCACAGAAGGCGCGAGGGCTTCTGAGAAGTCCCGCCGCCTTCTGAGAAGGCCTTCTCCTTCTCTCTTCACCCCACCCCTCGCTCGCCGCCGAAACTCGGCTCTCCCGTGGCCTTTCGGGACGAGCAGGGCATCCCCGGAACGCTCTCGGCGAGGCGCAGCCGCTGGAACGCATCCCGAGGCAGAGGGACAGCCGAGAACCGACGAAGGCGCCCGCAGAACCCCGAGCCGCCTCGAAGCCGAAACTTCCCCTCGGCGCGCCGCGGGCAGGGCTGGGACAGGGGTAAGATCGTTCCAGAGCGTTCCGGGGCACTCGTAGAGCGTTCCGGAACGCTCCGAGAAGGCCGCGGTGCCCGACAGGCACATCTTCCAGAACCGTTGGATTTCAGAGGTCCCCGATTTTATCCGTGTCCGATGTTGTTATTGTCTTGGTTTGGTCTTGGCAGGTGGTCACCTGGCCTGCATGGTGTCGTTGCGCATCCTGGCGCAGCCGGTCCGATTCGATTCCGACTCCATGCTGATGTGGCCCGATCCGACGCCTTTTCTGGTTCGCTCCGATTTCCGATCCGATGTTGGTTGGCATTCGGCGGCGCGCCGAGGGGGGGCAGGGGGAGGGCGGAGGGCTTCTTAGAAGGCAGTGCTTCTTAGAAGCCCTTCCACGGCTTCCAGGTTGCCCCATTCCAAGAGGCACCCGGGCCTCTGAGAAGCCCACGCCCCCCTCGGCGCGCCGCCGAGGCATTGCCTCTTGGGCGCGCCGCCGCTTCTAGGTTTAAGGCAGGCCTATCCCTCTACAGGAGGAGTATTCCAAGATAGTGAAAAATAGTATGGGGACTATTGTTTGACATTTCTTTTATATGTTAAGTGCATTTTTTGTGTATTTTATATTTGTCAAAAATCGGCCTGTATGGGGACAGGCCCGGCTTAATTCTAGGTGGCCACCTGGCAGCTGCCCGGGAACGCCCCGGTGGGCTCCACCTACTCGATCCGGGGGGAGCTGGCTGGCCGCCTGCGGCTGCGGCATTTCCTGGAGGGCGGCGCGGGGCCGCCAGAGGACACCGAGGGCCGTCCAGAGGAGAGCACGCTTGCAGTCGAGGTTCGGCATCCTCCTGCCCCCTCCCCCCCCTGGCGCGCTCCCGGCCCAGATCGGGTATAGCCAGGACCCCAGGTAAGGGGACCCGGTTAGTAGTAGGGCCCCGGAGCTCCTAAATTGGCCAACGCCCGATCAGAAACGCTTGAAACGGCTGGCTTTTGTGCATTTTCTGCCTCTGGGAGCCCTCAGCCCGCCCCAGGAGAGCCAAACAAAAATGACTCGGGACTAAAAATAGGTCCGGGGGAAGTGGGTCAGACTTCTGGGGGTCCACGCATCGAGAAATATTGAGCGACAGATGTTTGGGCTCTCCTCTTTCTTCTCCCTCCCAATGTGTCTGTTTCCCACTGGGCAGGAGCGAGGTCATGTCTACGCCCCCCTCGCCCTCCCTATCCCTCAAACTGCTCAGTCTGGGGAGTTTGTGGCCTGCTCTGCTGCTTGCCAGAATGGTGTTGCTCCCTCCATGGGCCACAGCGACTGCCAGAATAAGTGTAGTAGACTTGCGGGCCAAACCTCGGCCCGATGTCCTCTGGCACAAAAAGAGTCCACGCTGGGATGTTTGGATCTCCAACAGCCACACGGGGCCCATCTTGAAGGTCGAGGGACCCCTGGCGGCGCTCGGGAAGCCCTCGGAGAGGCGCAGCTGGCCACTCACGAGGTGGAGTCCCACGCGTCCGAGGACAGCGTTTCATGTGGAGGGCCGGCGTTTCATGTGTACCCATCGCTCTGCCACGCCAGCTTGTCATGGCACTCATCATCATGATGCCGCCCCTGCTGCGATGACACGCCGAGCATGCAAAATCGCTTTGCCTTGGGCGCACGAGTCGCCAGCGTCCGTTGATACTCTCTGCCCTGGGTCCGACGTCAGGGCCAGGCTCTTAGGCAACCCGAGCTCGGGAGACGGGCCGATGATGTGGGCGGCCGCCAGGCCGAGGCTGCCGCTCGCAAGTTTCAGCCGTCCCGCGCAGAGGCTGACAAGGCTCGCAGGGTGGAGCGCCTCGCAAGCAGGCTCCGAACAAAAGGCAAGTCTTGCCAGGAGCAGGAGGAGGAGCGGGAGGAGGAGCGGGAGGAGGAGGAGGAGGAGGAGGAGGAGGAGGAGGAGGACGTCAAGTGGTGGTGTTTGAGGATTGTTCTCGCTGTGAACCTTGTGGCTCTTGGCGGGGTCGTGCGCGCGCCGCCCAAGCAGAGGTTTGCTCGAGCAAGCACGGTTGACCCGCTGATTGCCAGGACAGCGCACGGGGTCGTGCGGCCAGAGGGTCGGGGGGGAAGGAGGGTTCCCGATTCTGGTGCCGCCGCTGTTAGGAAATCCGCGGGGGACTCCGCCAAGAGGTGGCCGAGTGGAGGACCTCCCAGTGCGTGCCTGTCCAGACCGAGACCTCGGGGAATTCGTGTCCTGTGCCGCTTGGCGCGCGCGTCGCGGACAGAGTGGTCCACCCGAGCCACGCTGCCCGCGTTCATGGCCATGTTCCTGTCTCTTCGTCCTCCTTTTTTTCCACCTCCTCCTCCTGTAGCAGCGTTGTGACATGTAGCATAGCAAAATGAATGTCACAGAGCGCGCAATGCTATTGATTTCGACCTGGCCGCAACACTGCGGATCAAGCGGTTCCCTCGTGGCGGCGAGTGGGAGATTTCGGCTTGAGCACCTCCCCAACAGCTCCAGTCGCCGAGGGTTCTTGGGCTAGCGATTTGCGGGTCTCGCCTTGTGCGCTGGCAATCTCGACTACCGCCAACGCCTGCCTCTCGCAAACTGACGTTTGGGGGGGCACTTGTGCCGCTGGGCACCGCGCTGATCGCGTCGGGCGTGAGTTTCTTGCTGGGGATCCTGGCGGTGCTGGCGTCGCAGGCAGCCGTCTGCCCGTGTCTGTTCTCCGTGCGTGCCGCGCTGTGGGGCTTCACCAATTTGCTGGAGTTCGGGCACCAGGCTGGGGGTCGCTTCGGGCAGCAGATAGTCGGGCGCCTCGATGACACCGGTTCCCAAGAGGCACGTACGAAGGGCTCTCAACCTTCATCCTGGGGACGCGGTCGTCCTCGATGATGGCGAAGAGGGGGACCCTGGCATGAAAGGTTGATCCTGGCTGCCCTGGGGGGGGCCGGTATATGATCTTGCGCCTGACGAGAGCATGTATGAGAAGGAAACCCAGACATGCGACGTCATCATTTGTTCAGGACGGCGTCCCTGGAAGTCCTGACCCTTTCCCCAGGACCGGTTTTTCGTCCTGAGTTGTTTCTTGACGGTCCCGAGTCCCGGCGAGGGCCCACCGGGGCCGAAAATAACAAAAAAATCCCGTCCCGATTTATTCACGACGCGATCATGTCTGGGGATCGACGCCCGCCACCGGGCGGACTTCAAGCAGGCTGGGCCCAGGGGCGGTTTGCTGGCGGGCCTGAGCGCGTCCCCGGGCCAGCCAGCCTGCCGCTTCACTGAGAGGGCGAATGGTGCGGCGCTCCAGGCGTGGATCGACGATGCGGAGTCCCAAGCGGGGGAGCTCCGCTCGGAGCGCGGGCCGGCGCCGGTGGGCGACGCGCCGGAGCCAGCAGGCGAGCCGGCGCCGCCCTTGCCTGGCCCAGCTGCGTCGGGCGGCGATGCCCGCCAGCAGGGCGCCGAACGGGGCGACTGGTGCTGCGTGGCTGCCGAGGGCGACGTGAAGCGGGGCTCGGTCCACTCGGTGCCGGACTCGCTGGAGACGCCGTCCGAGGTCTTCGTGGCGATGGGCCAGCACGGGCAGTGCGACCTGTGATTTGGGGCGGAAGGGGACCTCGGCGGTCACAGTTCGGCTGGCGCCGGTTGCGGCCGCGGGCGAGGCGTTGCGGGCCTTCGCTGCGGAGCAGGGCGCGCCGGTGCTCGGGTTGCTGGAGTGCCCAACGCCCCCGCCGCCGGCCGAGGACGCGCGCGCCTTGTCGATCATGCGCGACACGGCGGGCCGCCGGCTTCGCACCCTCAGGAGCGTGTCGGAGGCGGCGGAGAAGCGAGAAGCATGATACAAGTTGAACGACGACGAGCACAGCGTCGCGGCTCACGAGATCCTGTCGGAGACCCTGGAGCTGGCGTGCACCTATGACCAGGTGGACGCGTCGAACCTGGCGAGCATGGATGCGCTGGCGCGGCACGCGCAGTTCATCGAGCACAAAATCAAGAAAAAGGAGACCGCGGATAATTCGTCTCGCAGGACGAACCTGGAGAAGCAATGAAGAGCCCCCCCCTCTCCGGCGAAAGTATAACGCCCCAGCGCCCTGCAAGCGTTGCCCTGACACCTCGCAACCAGCGCCTCGGCGCACTTTCGGCATCAGTTTCCATCGCGCAGATTTAGCTGAGGGCTCGCGCAGCGTTTCAGACTTGAGTTTCAATCGCCCGCGCAGGCCGCTTCGAATCATGCACGTCGCCATCGTCGCCATCAGCGCTGCAGTCGCAGCGGCAGCGGCGCGAGTCAGGAGGGGGGTGGGGACATTTAGGAATCTCGCCCGAGCCAAGGCGCGGGAATTATTCACGGCCCTTTCTTTGGCGCGGTTCGAAAGATATCGCTCCGCGAAAACCGCCCCCAGCAATTATTTAATTTCGGCGCGGTGCTAACGATGACCCCGGGGGGGGGGGGGGTTCTCAAGTGCTCACTGCGGTTATGCTGCATTGGGGGCACCCGGCAGACGGGGGGCGCCATCGCGAGCCCCGAGTTGCTAAAGTGGGTGGCGGAATCCGCGGCGAGGGACTCGGCCATCTTGAAGGAGGGGCGCAAGGCGGCGGAGGAGCGGGCGCTGGCGCGCGGTGCTGCGGAGAAGTCACGACGGGCTTCGGGGCCGGGGGGGCCGACCCAAGCCGGCGCCGCCAGGCCTGTGGAGCGCGCGGCGCCGAGGGAGCTGCTGCCGCTGCCCCGTGGCGCCCGGGCGCCCAGCGCGGGGGGCGCGGTCGCTGCCGCGCCGCGCCGTCCAGAGGATCGGCCGCAGGTCCGCCGCTGGCCGCCGCCCGAACGACTGCGTCGCCGCCCTGGGCAAGTTGCACGGGGAGGGCGATTTCCGCTTGGTGGATCGCCCGTCGGAGGCTCAGTTTCCTGCAGCGGATTCGACGCGGCAGGCAGCGCATAACGCGGCGCCCCCTGGCGACGCCCCCAGCCCCGAGGCAGCCCTGGTGAAGTTGCTCGGCTCGGAGAGTCTGGGTTGCGGCCCCGACGGCTCCACTTTGGTTGCGCCGCATCACCGCGGCCTGGCGGGTCTTCGCGGCCCGAGCCGGCGGGCTCTGCGCGAGCTTGCTGGAGGCGCTGCCGGAGCCAGACCGCCAGGAGGTGATTGGCGGTGAGAATTCGACGCTGTTTCGCGCTGGGATAAGATCTAGCAGCCCAGCGGAGACGAGCCCGCGCAAGTCGTCCAGGACCTCCTCGATGGGGGCATGGTGGAGCCGCGCGCTCGTCGTGATTTTGAAATGGGAATCGTCTTTGTCAGGAAGACATCAGGTCGGCCCAGGCTGATAGACGCACGAGCCGCGATCTAGTCTTTGAAGCGCCCGCCGACGATCCGCCTGGCGTCGACGGCGCCGATGGCGGGCTCGGAGGTCGAGGACGGCGCCCAGCTGGAGTTCGATCCAGGACGCTGAAGATTGCTTCTACCAGGTCAGCGTGCCGGACTATATGGCGTCGTGGTTCGGCGCGCGCCCTCTCAGGGCTCGCGAGTTGGGGGCGCGGGTGGTTGGTGGCCAGGTGCTCTCAGGCGGGGCGCGGATTTACCCGCGTCTCAAGGTTCTGCCAGCGGGGTTCTCGCGGGCCACGAGGTGGGCGCATCGAGCCCATCGCGAACAGCTTCGACGGGAGGGCCTTGGCGGCATCGAGCGCGAGATGGCGGGCCGGCAGCTGGCCCCCGGCGTGGAACTCGCTCTAGGTGCTTCGGATCGTGCGCGTTGACAACGAGATCTTCGTCTCCTCGCAGGCGGGCGCCACCCGTTGCGCGCGCAGGCAGGCTGCCTAGGTGGCGCCCGAGGTCGA